TCAGATGGTGACATTGGGTTGACTCTCAACATTGTCAAGCTAACACTTAGGAAAAAAATGTTTCTAGGGCTTAAGTCTAACTTGGGATCCAAAAGTTACTCTTTTATGTCAGAGATCATTTTGGAAGTATAAACTGAAAGAGTCCAGAGTCTTACACATCCTTAAAAATATGTGGGGCCTATATTCCACAATGTGGGCCAGGTGGAGAAAATAGGTTTTGTTCATTCTTACAAAGATATATAGAGAAATAAGAGCCCTGGACTCTTATTTTAAGGGATTATGTTAACACAGCAAGAAAGATTGTTTTGAAAATAACCTTTCTATTTCAGATAAAATGGATGAGTTGATAGGAACCTGTAAGTTTTCAGTCATAGCTTCTGCAGTAATTAAAGTTACTGCCATCGTGGAGGGTAGGGGAGTGTTTGATAGGTTAATAAAAAAGAAAGCCTAGAGTTTAGATGAGAGCCGAGAGCTAATGCAGAAATTTAAGTCTTAGTAATGTCCTGCGAAATTGTCTACACCTCCTTACTGAGGAATGTAGGGGGGCATCAGGAGAGGAGGTGTATCTCTTTGCAAGGCAAACACCAAACAAGAGTCACAGAGAATTTTTCGCAGGCAAATTTCCTCTGTGTCCCCTTCATCCACTGACAGAGGGTGTGCTGAAGTGTTGAGCAAGGCACCGTCACTTAGACTCCCTAGAGGCTGTCATCACCCTAAACCTCTGTTCTCTTCTCCCCTTTGTCCTCCTGGCTGGAAGCACCCCAACATCCAAGACAATCGAGTATTTATTAAACCCCTGGCTCTCTACGCAGCTCGTTTTGTGAATTCTTTCTCTGATCATTTTAGAAGCCATTTAGAGTAAGGGAATTGTTGAGCAAAAAAATTGAGTGAGCAGAAATTAAATCTGCAAGGAACAGGAATGCTACAAAGGTAGAGAAAAATGGGTAAAGGTTTTCTGGGCCTTTCAGCCACACTGGTATTGGCTGGACTCGACTGCCCAAGCTAGTTTTCTTAGTGTGTTTAGGTGGAACCATGAATGCCACCCATTCCCTCCCAGAGGACTTGGTATTCCCATCTGATCAAATATAGAGACAAGGCAAAATATTGGATGCTGTCAACAGTGGAGGAAACAGGAGGGAGGCATTCAGGGGATTAGGACTGAATTCTGTAGATTATTATAAAGTCTGTATTTAGGTTCCGGGCTGCATGAATATTTGGATTAGCTTTGAAGTTTGAAAGTCACAAATGATGGCAAATGTATATTTTTAGGGGATGATATATGCCCATGTCAATAAAATGTACATTCTCACTTAGAAAAAGTTTTCTATTTCTGATCTTGTGAATTAAGTAGTGACCATTCCCTACTGGTTTTTCGGGTCAATAAATCTGACCAACATTTTTTAAT